CATCATCACTTCGAGACCTTTTCGTGCTAGCTACTTTTTTCATTGTAGGGGTAGAGGCAGTAGCATCAGATGGCAAGTTGAAGCACCAACATCCTCTCTTGATTCAGAATCTCTTATTCACTCTTCTTCAAGTAATGCATCTATAAATGCATTGTCTTCAACATCAATATGTTCCACTGCATCAGTTGCTGTCTTCGCTGCTATTCATGTAGCTCTTTCTTTTCCAAATATATGAACAAAGTCATCAAAGAATGGAAATGACTTGTTTCTTAATCCAACAGCAGTTGGATGACTCTACAATATAATAAAATCGCAAATTTAATAAATATTACAAAGCTAAGTAGATAAGAAAGAGTATAGAAAGAAGATAAATTCAATTTAAATACTTACTCTAACCCAATCATCAAACACATCCTTTGGTGCAGTTAAACATTTTTCTTCTTCATTCCAACCGAATCCACTTCCAATATTCAGCATTTCAGATAAAGCATTGTATTGTCTTTTGAGTAGCTTCACTCTAGATTCAATATATGGATGGGCCCTAATTTGTGATGTTGGAAGCTTGATTTCTAACATCTTTTCAAGATTAGATAGATAACCTGATCTAAATGTTCCATTATCAGCTTTCCAATGTGGGTCTTCAGCCAAAATGTGTAAACATTCAACAAGTGCATCCTCCTCCTCTTTAGTCCATGTCCTTTTAGTTACTATAGACTTAACCTTTCTAGATGTCGGTGGTTTTTCCCCCCTTTGAGATTCCATATTTGATGTTGACATATTTCTCTTCGAAACAATCTAAGAAGATGTATATAAAAAATGTATAACATAATAAAAACATGTCATCATTGTCAATGCTAATCATAAATGAAATTTAAAATAGTAACATAATATAAATCAAATGTAGTGAATGACATAAGTAATGAATGTCCATAACAAATAAAATTTGAATTTTATAGAAGAGAATTACAGAAAATTTAATAAAGTTATGCCATAAAATATAAAGATGTCAAATACATGAAAGTAATGACCACTAACATTAGATAAAATAGAAGGTGGAAGTCATACATAACATAAAATAACATCTATCCTAAAGTACGTGACGCCAACCAACTAGTAAACATATCTTCTGCTAATTTGTCTCTCCACTCAGTCCAAGCACTGCTTGGCTCACAATGTCTGATCATTTCTACTTCATTAATCTCTTCAACATGCCTACTATCTTCAGTATAGTCAGATTCAATAGGATCGATTGGCATCTCAGATCTTATGAAATTATGGAGAAGACAACAAGCTGAAATGAGTCTACATTGTGTTTTCACTGGATAAAATGATTTTTCCCTTAAAATTACCCATCTCGCTTTCAATATGCCGAAGCATCTCTCAATGCAATTCCTAGCTTGAGAATGTTTCATGTTGAAATATTCTTGAGGGGTGGTAGGTTGGTGTCCTTCTCTCCAATCATTCAAGTGGTATCTTTGACCTCTATATGGTGCAAGAAATCCATCTCCATTCGTGTATCCAGCATCACATAAGTAGTAACACCCTATATTATTTTAATTTAAAAAGTAAATTAATATACAAAACTTGGAAGAATTTTACATTCTTTTATATATATTAATGACCTAATAATTTACCTTGTGGAACATTTAAACCATTTCTTCTACTAATGGCATCTCTGAGTATTCTACCATCAGCTGCAGAACCTTCCCACCCAGGTAAAACATAAATGAATTGCATGTTTGATGTGCAAACACCAAGTACATTTGTCGTAATTTCATTTTTTCTTGTTTTGTATCTAGGTTTATCGATTGCAGCTACATTGACCGCACCCAAACATCCCTATATTCATCAAATAAATTTAAATTGCATTTATGTATTAAGCATTACTAATTAACTTAAAAGAAAGTCCAGAATTATGATACAATACCTTAAACCATTTCCATCTATCGTCTGTTGAATTATCTTGTATCGATTCTAGTTTTCTAAAAAGGATCGGATGCAATTTCAAGACTGAAGCTAACACTATATGGAGAACTCTACTAATTGTTTCACTAGATCTTATTGTTTGACGTTTTAAAACACTAATCTTAATATGGTGGGATATAATATGAAGGAAAGTAATAACCATTTCTTCTATAGACATATATCGACTCTCTTTTAACCCACCTTGACTTTGTAATAGGTGACACAATTTGATAAATGCTCTCTTATCCCTTCGACAATTATCAACACTTTGTTGATCACTTTCAAATACAATTTTATGTAAATTAAGTGATCTAATATTATGTCTATGAAGTCTTTCATGTACATAAGTTATTTTAGGTCGATTTTTATATTTTCTAAGAATAACTGAAATAACCAAAAGCATATGACACACAATCTCCATCATTTGCAGTTGTAAAATAAGAATTGTGGCGATATGCGTCTTCTTTCGTATTGGTAAACGAGCCTTAACTGTTTTTTTATTAACAAACATTTTAATATTAGAAAATAATAATATTTAACAAGAACAATTGTTTGTCATCACAATAAAAATAATTGAACGTAATAAAAATGGCACTATAACAAAATGATGATAGAAGAGCAACTATGTAAATACAGTTCAGCAAGTTACTGTAAAACAAGTAGGTAGCCACACATTTCTTTGTTTGCTTTTAAACCTCAACCTGTTTCACCCTTAAAAAACAACCCTATTAACCATTTTACTCACTTCCCAGTTTTTTTTAAGTAACTTAAATCTGAAAATCTATTTATTTTATTTTTTTGATCAAGGAAAAGATTTTCAAATTTAACTAGTAAGATCTCATGAAAGAGCAATTGAAATTTTCAATTCTGACCAGTTCAACTGTTAAAGACAATATAATCTTACTGCTCATCTGTCCAAATTTCCCTATTGATGGGTATCAACCATATCACATAGAAATGTCATACATTTTTAGCAATCTGACCTCAACTTACAGGCAATTGTTAACAGTTTTAGAACCTAGACTCAAAATAAAGAACCGCCAAGACCTCAACTAGGCAGTTGGCACCACAAGAAAATTCTGTAATTTAACATGGCTGCAGTTAGAAGATGAAAGACAAGATCAAACAACTACTCACTCCGTCTGATTATTTAGCTGATTCAGTAGCCTCGGTGGTTTTGACTTATGTAATAATTCAAAATTCAGTAAAAAATAAGACCTAATTATATTCATATTTCTACAGAGTCTAACTATCATATACTGTTGAACAAGAAAACCATGGAAATTAACCACTTCAAGCTTTCCCTTCGTTCTTCCACCATTTTCCAGTCATTTAAATGGACCGCCCTACTCCTCATAAACTAACCAGTAACCACTTATTAGTTGCTGCTATGGAGCTTAACGACTTCTCGTGTTATTTGTTCTATTATACTATTTACTAATTTATCTTGATTTTTGTACAAGGTAAGTGGATGTTTTCGACTGATAATTTCTCAATTTCTACATATACATTTTAGTGTTTCATGAGCATTCTTTGATTTTTTTTCCAACTGCTTTGAGCCTAGGGTTAAGTTAGTTCTTGGATTTTGTATATTATGATAGAAAAAGAGTCTCATCCACCCGACCACACTTAGGCAGTTAGTGACTGCTCAATTAATGTTCTGTATATCAAGTTAAGCTTCTATATTATTCCACTTTTTGAGTTGACTTAATTCCCAGTTTTATGGTCATATAACTTGGGACCTCTTGTACCCTATGCAAGAATCATACCACTGCACCTAATTCTGGATATTGATTTTTACTAGCAGTTTTGTGGAACTTTGTATATAAAGATGATATGTGGGGCAACATTGTGCCTATGACTACCACTTGCTATTTTCTTGTTCAACAGTATATGATAGTGGCCCAAATGTGGCAAGGAAAAATGACAAGATTGCTAAACCTGGAAAGACATACTTAACCACACTGCCCATAATGAAAATTTAAGTAGAAAGTAAATAGAAGGTTGTTGATGCCTTGAATAGAATGATCTATATATTAATATATATGTCGTCTAAATTAATTGGACTTGAGCAATTGAAGAGAGATTATTCAATATACAAATATTTCAGCTAATACATGTTGCATTAATGGCAGGACAGTAAGGTGAATATCCACTCTATTCCATATATGACAGTTATCTATTTAAAGACACTCTCTTTTGTCTTCAAAGCACCTGATCTCTTCTTTATCAAGACTCCATGGATGAAGCAGTATTGGAACTACATTCTGGTGAGCAGGGAATCAGGGAATGTGACAAAATAGTTACCTATTCATAGATTATCATTTTTTCTTCCAAGTACTTCCATCTCTTGTTAATCAAGACTCGAGATGAAAATATCCTTGGACTCGCATTATGGACTTTATTGATGTGACAAAACTATAGTGAATGAGGAAGATATAGTTTATTGGCCAAGTTTGAGAGCATATGTAGAATGTCTTGTTCAACAACTCTACACTTCCAATTTCATGAATTCCATCTGAAAATTATATTTAGCAAAGAAATCTAAAAACAAATTTTTTATTCAAGATAAACAGATTTCAGAGATGATAAATGTTTACTGCTTATATCTGACCAGAATGATTTCCTACAAGCACTTTCAAGAAACTACATTTGAGGGGAGTAGAACCTTCCAAAACTAAATGGATGCATGTATTGTTTATAGCCTAGAAAGGTGTATGTGGAGATTTTACATGTCTGTTCGGTTCAATTGTTTTCAAAACTTGAGATTCTCTCTTCTTTCTCTTCCACATATCTAATAACATGTGGGGCTAACATCAACCACGTGTAAGAGATAAAGGCAAGCTCGTAAGCAGTACCAAAGTTACCACTCCATAAATCAATGTTTATATCTTTTCTTGCCTTATCCTTTGTATGTTTGAGAGAAAAAGAAGAGGATAATTCTTTAACCTGACTTCCCCTTGATGCATGTCTTCATGTCCCTATCTATGTCTGGAAATCCAAAAGTTTAAAAACTCCGGTTTTTAATCTTTTATCCTTTTCTTTTTCAACTTTTGCGCTTTGGGTTTGCTTTGTTTGTTCATAAAAAGAAACCAAAACCAACACTTTTACCTTTCTTTTCTTAATATGTTTGAGTTGCCTACTTCATTAGTCCAACAATTGAGGCTCTTCAACAATAGATACTTGCTTACCAGGTTCACTCCTTCACTTTCAATTTACCGAATATGCAGTAAACTATGGTAATTGTGATGATTCTTTACATCATTTTATGGTAATTAATGGTTGTTTAAGGTGATATTTGATTTGGGTTTTGCTTCTTCTAAGATCAAGAAAGTAAAATAAATAAATAAATAAATAAAAATTAAAGAACCTCAAAAAGACCAAATTGAATCAACCAAAGAAGATGGGTTCCAAAAGTTCCTAATCCCAGCTGCGGTTACAATTGTAAGGGGGGGGGGGAAATTTTGGAATATGCTCCACCTTCTCTAAGTCTAGACTTTCTTACTGATATAATATTATTTTTTTAACTTTTTATAGCCAAGGTATGCAACAATTACTGATTTAGCAGTCGGAACTGATTTGAAAAACATAAAATTTTATCTCGAGCCTCACATGGCCAAGTCTAAGATTTTAGATTTACCTCAAACCAAAGAAAGTTGGAGTAAAGCTTAAACATTAGATTGCTTTGATTAGAAAGCAATCTTCATCATACATTTTCACAGACCCAGACAACAAAAGTATATTAAAAAAACAAGAAGAAGAAGAAAGGGTTTTTATTCCTTATGAATGAGACAACTGTAACCCAAGACAGTGAATCATGAAAGCCTACACACACAAAAAAGATTCAAAACAACAGTCGATGAATTTTTAATCAGAAACAAACAACAATAACAACAACAAACAGGGAAGAAAATGGCACCCAACGGAGATAAAGTCGATGGAATTTCAAAAATGGATGTTGCTGTGAAAATGACACAAAAAGGATAGTTTTGGATCAAGAAAATGGCAGAGTGCGAAGGAGAAGAGAGACATACATGTTGGTGTCTGCAAATAGGCGACAGCGGCATGATGCTTCGCTTGGGACGAAGACTACAGAGGCCTTAATACACGAAAATGGATGGTAAACGATCACGAAAATGGCAGAGAGACATACAAAGATATCGCGATGGAAACGGGAAAACATGGGTATTTTAGCCCTTAACAGACGGAATGAAAGAATACCTAAGGGGTGTGGGGAATACATTCCCAAGAATATTCACTGTTGGGAAACAAATATTACCTTCACTTGGGAAAGGATACTCAACCAAACATGGGTATCCTTGGTAAGGAAAAAAATATTCATACTGGGAATCCTAAAAACCTCCATCCAAACACACCCTTAGTCCTTTTCAAGCATATAAGGGAAAGTTAGGGGTTGTTTGTTTACTTCAGAATGATTAAGCGCTGAATGATTAAATGCTGAATGATTCAGAGGCTCTGAATGAATTAGCTCTGAATATGACATGTTGTTTGATAATGGCTCTGAATCATTCAGAATGTACTTCTGTGCTAAATTATTCAGCATTATTTTGCTGAATCAGTCAGCACTGAATCATCCAGAGGTGCGAAACAACACTGAATTGTTCCATTAAGAGGCAAACAAACAACCCCTTAGGCTCTTCCTTTTTACTTGGTCCCTCCCATGATTAAAATGCTTTCAATTTTCATATTTGGTATAAATTAACTCTTACTCCTTGAATCTTTTTTTCAATTAGTCTTAAACTTCACATCTTTTTTTTTAGCCTTTTTGTATAAGTACATTATTAATTTGTAATATAATATGAATTATTTGATATTGTGTTAACAATTAATATTATTTTAATTTAAGTTTGAATATAATTTTTATCGATATGATATTATAATTTATTAGATGTATTATTTTTAAATTATATTTGATTTTCTTAAACAAAAGTTAAATAATTGAATCGTATTGTTTAAAAAAACGATTTTGACTTTTTATAATTGAAATTATTTGATTAAAAAAATTATTGAATTTTAATTTTATAAATATAATCAAAACTAAATAATAATAATATAATTTGATTAATTAAAATTTCATAAAATTATAATTTTTAAAAATATTTTTAAAACCTTAAAAATGAATTATGAGAGGTCTATCAATCGGTCAAGTGATCAAAGATGTTTATGTTGTTCCATTTTATATGGGTTCAAATCTTGGTATTTAATTTTAGAAAGATAATATATCTACTAATAAAAAAAACTAAATTGTGAATTTTCATGTATTTTTAAAAACTTTGTTTTTTTAAAAATCATTACTTAGAAATATTAAAATAAATGTCACACCCGAATTTAATTTAAAATTTATTTAAATTATTTTATTTAATTAAGGGATCAAAATGGGTAGTTCTGAAAGATTATGGGTTAACAAGTTTGGAAAGTTAAAGGAACCCTGAATTTACCCAATTTTTTGGTCACTGGAAAAAAATAGGAAGTTGGTTGCTAGGATGGTTTGAACCCGGGACCTAAGGTATGGCCAGTCATCTAGCCTAAGTCACTGTTTGTGACTAATTTAATAAATATAGGTATTGTGTTTTCGTTGGTATAACCCACCCCATTTTCAGAACCCTTCCAATTCCTGTGAAATCCCCAAAATCCTTAGTGTCGCAGTACCCCTTCACCTATTTGCCCGCTCTGGCCACCGTTGTGGTGTTTCGACATCACCAGTCGAACCGGAGTCCTTTCGCGACCTTCCCCAAGTCGTCAACAACCTTGAATAGATCATCGATCATCATAAATCGATGAAGGAAAACCTTGTGTTACCGCTTCTTTTCCCCCGTTTGTCGCTAAACTAGGTGTCTTCCCGCCTCACCGCCTGCATCACCGAGCTCCTCTCCTCCGTACGCTTAAAACCCCAGCCCTTGGGTTAGGTTGTCGTAGTTGTTTTCCTTCATCGCCGGTGTGGGTAAGCGTTTCAGCCCTTTGCTTTTGTTTCTGATGATTTTAGCTTATTTTAGGTATTGGTATGGCTTGATAATAAGGTTTGGATGCTCCCCAGAGTAGTCGGGCTACCATCTCAAAACTTTTCACCGCTATCACGCATCGTCTCGTGCGCGTAAAGCTCCTCCCTTGGCTTGGACTCTCCTAGAATCGGTTCGAGCCAACTCGAACCAATCTGAGTCAACTCTGATCAAACCGAGTCAACCCAAATCATTCGACTCGTTTACCTTGACCCAAACCGTTGACTTTGACATGCCCGTTGACTTTAACTTTGACCAGTTTGACCATTGGCTTTGACAAAAAAGTTAAAATTTTTGAAAAGTCATATTTTATGTTTTTCGACGTCATAAGTCCGAATCTATAGTCCATTTTTCTAAATTTGAACTCAGTAAGCTATTTTTTGACATTTTATCTCCCAATTCAATGCAAATTTTCACGTTTAAGTTTCGTTTCTAATGTAATTGGTTTGGCCATGTATCCGATACATTATGAGACATGTAATTAAAGTTTGAGGGCAATCAAATAGAGTTTAATTGGTTAAATGATGTGACTTGAAAATTGAGGTAATACTTTACTACCCTATGCATGCTTTATGATACATGTTGGTGATTTGTTAATGCATGATTAGAGCTATTGGTCAATTACATAGAGTTAATTATTGATGGACTTGAATTGAATACGATATAAAGACAGTAAACCCAATAAGACTCAATTGACTCATGTAAGGAACTAGAAGATCGATAAAAGATAAATATAAGTTTAGTGATTTAATTAGTAAATCAATTAATCACAGGACTCGTAAATTCTAATTAATCTCATTAAAGGTCAAATGTCGAAAATACTTGGATAAGAAACTACAAAAATACTTGTGTGATGTAAAAGACAATGATTGTCCCTGAAAGTGAAAATAGCCCTATTAATCAATCATAACTTTTTAGATGGTAAAAGATTTAAAATTCTAATTCTTGAATAAACTTCTAAAGACTAATTTGCCAGAAGTAATGTATATGTCAAAATGAAATGAAATGCATGAAACATCATCGAAATGGGAAATTACCTAAAATTTCTAATTCCTAAGCGAACACTCGAAGGCTAAATTATTGAAAGTACTTTACAAGTTTGAATTACTTGAAATGATTATATTATATGATAAAGTTGAACTGAATGAAAGTATTATACATATCCGAATTGATGAAATGATAGAATTACTCTGAAAACTCTGAAATAACATGGATAAACTTGAATACTAAATGACCTACGTACCTTCAATAACTTTGAATTAAGTGGATGACCTGGATAAGTCTGGAAACGCTGATGAACTTATATATTGTACCGTCTATAAGGGTTATGAACCATGAATCAAGCATGTTAACATTTATTGATACTGTTGAAATACAAAAATGAAATAAATACCGATAGAATACATGTTCGTCTCCCTAAGATCCATTCATCGATGATTCTGAATGTGGTTAGTTTAACTAGAGCAATCAGTATTAAGAAGTGAATAATGGTGAAGTACATCGGTCTGAATGATTGGCAAGTATCGCAGTGTTGAGATTTGTTAGTTTAATTTGACTCAAAATCCTAATAATTCGATATAAATCCTAAATATTGTAAATTATTGTTTTACTCTTCATGGGTTAAATTACGAAGAATTATTCAAGAAACCAAAATGTCTAAAATGCCTCTGATGGCCTAAATAATAGAATCACTTCTGTCATATCTAAAACCTCAAGTAACTCCAATGTAAAGTATTCTGAATACATTCATGATTACTTAGTTCATTCGAAAAATATCTTAATACTATATGATCTTAATAAATCACTTCTCGAATGACTATTGAATCCAATAGCTATCAAACCCCCTTTTTATATGAATCTCATTTATGAAATTCAATCGGATTACAAAAGTTTTGTGTTTTCCTTGGTTGATAATTGCTAAGTACCTTTGGAAAATAACTTGATCCTCTAGTGTGTTCCCCACGTGTTATATGATTATTTTATCTATCCTGAAATGTGGTTTACTGAAGTTACTAATTTATTGTTTATGAACTATGGCTATATGTGTAACACCCTTAACTCATATCCGACCCGAATACAAGTCTGAGGTGTCACATTGACTTTTCAAACTTTGACTCTTAAAGAAAATCCCGAGAATTTTTAAAACTTTCATTAAAACGAAATACTTTAATTTACATAAGACCATAAAATACAAAATCGATCAGAGTATTCGTAATTAACACGTATTACATGCCAACATTCTATACATAACCAAGTACATACTTTGTCAACTACTTCTGATCTGATCTCTTAGTAGTATTGCTGTCTGTATTTCCACTTTTCCTGATTCTTGGTACCTACGTGTAAATCACTTACACGCTAAGTCATAGACTTAGTGAGGCAATAAATGAATATGCAACAATAAACTTATGAATGTTCATACTTACAATTGGATCATGACATTTCAATATGCATGTATCTATTGCACGATAACATATAATGCACATACGAAACTTACCTTCTTGTATCAGTTTCACTGTAAATCGGTATTTCAATTGCATAGCCCATGTATATTATTGAGATTAGAGGTATGTGAGTGCATTGAGGTTATGCACTAATGCTATCACCACAGCTCGTATTTATTCCCTCATGGGGCACCAAACCTTAGTTCAGTATTCGTCCCGTAGGACTCCTACATCCCGAAGGACTACATCCCGAAGGACTACATCCCGAAGGACTACGTCTCGAAGGATTATTATACCCTCAACTCTTGGCATGCCAATTACACCTATAATTCTCATATCTTATACTATGGGCATTATTCTTATATTTCATATGTTCATGTACTCATATCATTTCTCTTGTGATCATGTATCTCATATCACTTCATATCATGTTCTCATATCACAGGTCATATCACATATCATATCACATGAACATATATATATCTTATGCGTGTATCACAATAATTATCATGTATGCATGTTCACAACTACTATATTATAAAAATCAACATAGGGATTAGACTTATCACAAGTCTTATTCCATTATAATATACATATAGTATGCACTCACCTTAGCTTTACTTTGCTTTGATTCTAATCCTTTGATTGTTCTGGAATAAGCTTACTTTTAGTATCTACATAATCACACATGGATCTATATCAGTATTATAACTAATATACTCTAATGATTCACTCTTTAGACTAAGAGAAAAGTCAATTTCATCTTTTAATGAAGGTATGCATCGATTCACTACTGATGCATCGGTGCATAAAAGGTATTCGATGTATTATTATTGCTGGGATGCATCGATGCACTCCTTATGCATCGATGCACCAATTGTATTCGATGTTTCATTATTAATGGGATGCATCGATGCACTACTTATGCATCGATGCATGAATTGCATTCGATGTTTTTATTTTAAAAGAGTGCATCGATGCACTACCAATGCATCGATACACCTTCAAACAATTTCTGGGTTTTAACCTTGATGCATCGATGCACTATGAATGTGCATCGATGCACTCTGCCCAGAATCCTCTTTTTGAATCCGAAAATTCATTCATTTTGGATTAAATCCTTCATGTCCTTTTTTTTCATTCTTAACTCTAGTACACATCCTTAAACCAATTTATACTCATTTATTTCATCTTAAACCTTCAAATCCTATCCTTCATATGTAATTCAAGAATTACATTAATAAATCAACATGTTTGAATTCCGCTTTTAACACTTCGTATATCTTAACTAGATTGATGACAAGTCAAATATAACTTTCAATTCTAGTTATGAACTCTATTCCAAGATTTCATTTAAGAACTTTAAATCTTAAATCTCTCCTAACTCAATCATCCTTTGATATTAAGATAACTTAAGCTTTCCTTAAGCTTAGTTTTCATCTAATAATCAAAACCCAATATTAAATTTAACAAGAAACTCAATAATCAGAAATCTTACCTTTGCTTTGGTTCACACGTACAAGGAAGAAAGAAGAAGAAGAAGAAAAGAACTCTGAAAGCCTTTGTTGTTCTCTCATTTTCAACCCACTTTTACTCATATATATCCTTATCCATTCTTTAATAAATTTTCCTTGCAAATGACTCTTTGGCCCTTTCATTCCTTCTTTCTTTCAATTAAATCCTACACAATCATTTACATATAAATCTTTATACTATTCATTCATTCTATTTTAATCACCAAAATCTAAAATTTTCCAATTTAGTCACTAACCCGGTATTGAGGATGTTACAACTCTCCCCCTTAAGAAAATTCGTCCTCGAATTTTCATTATGCAAAGAGGTAGGGGTACTTAATCATTATGTCCTCTTCACGTTCCCATGTTGCTTCCTCTACTTTGTGATTCCTCCAAAAGACCTTAACCAATGGAATAGTCTTGTTCCTTAGTTGTTTAACTTCGTGAGCTAATATTTGAACAGGTTCTTCCTCATAAGTTAAATCTGGTCGGACTTCAATTTCTTCAGGAGTCACAATGTGAGATGGATTAGATCTATATTTCCTAAGCATTGAGACATGAAAAACATTGTGTATCTTTTCCATTTCAGGTGGCAAAACTAACTGATATGCTACTGATCCTACCCTCTTAGTAATCTCATAAGGTCTAATGAACCGAGGACTCAACTTTCCTTTACGTCCAAACCTCAATATTTTCTTCCACGGAGACACTTTCAAGAACACTTTATCTCCGACTTGAAATTCAATTTCTTTCCTTTTTAAATCAGCATACGATTTCTGTCTATCAGCTGTAGTTTTCAGATTATTCTGAATTACTTGAACTTTCTCTTTCGTATTCTGAATCAACTCAGGACCAATAACTTCTCGATCCTTAAGTTCATACCAGTTCAAGGGCGTACAACATCTTCTTCCGTATAGAGCTTCATAGGGAGCCATTTTGATGCTTGACTGATAACTATTGTTGTATGCAAATTCAGCAAGTGATAAATACCTTTCCCACGATCCTTTGAATTCAATAACACAAGCTCTTAGCATATCCTCCAGAATTTGAATAGTTCGCTCCGATTGACCATCGGTTTGAGGATGAAACGTTGTACTGAAGTTTAACCGAGTTCCCAGTTCTCTATGTAATGACTTCCAAAATCGTGATGTGAATCTAGGATCCCGATCAGAAACTATGGAAATAGGTACACCATGCAACCGTATAATCTCTCTAATATACAACTCAGCATACCTATCCATGGAGTAATTAGTTCGTACTGGAATAAAATGGGCTGACTTAGTCAATCTATCCACGATTACCCAAATTGAATCCTTTTTGTTCGGAGTTAAAGGCAAAACAAAAATCCATCGTTATGTTTTCCCATTTCCATTGAGGAATTGAAATCGGTTGTAACAATCCTGACGGAGCTTGATGTTCAGCTTTGACTTGTTGACAAGTCAAACACTTTGATACAAATTTCGTAATGTCTTTCTTCATTCCCGGCCACCAATATCGACTCTTGAGATCCATACATTTGTTCCCTCCTGGATGCATGTCAATGGACTATAATGAGCTTCTGTTAACAAATCATTCTTTAATTCATCATCATCCGGAATTACTAATCTTTCTTGATAATACAAGTTCTCATCAGACTTAATCTCATAATCCGTACCCTCTCCATTCTTTATCTGTTGTATCATCTTTAAACACTTTTCATCTTTAACTTGTAATTCTTTAATTTGATTTAGCCATACGGGCTTGACTGTCAGTTTTGCACAAATTGCACCATCTTCTCTTAATGATAATCTAGCATCAAGAGTTCGCAAAGCTACAAACGTCTTTCGACTCAAGGCATCAGCTACCACATTTGCCTTCCCAGAATGGAAATCAATCACCACCTCATAATCCTTGAGAAATTCCACCCATCTTCTTTGTCTTAAATTCAACTCTTTCCGAGTCATCAAGTATTTTAAGCTCTTATGATCCGTATACAAGTAGCACTTTTCACCATACAAGTAGTGACGCCAGATCTTTAAAGCAAACACTACTGCCGCCATCTCTAGGTCGTGTGTTGGATAATTTTTCTCGTGCGGTTTAGTTGTCTCGAAGCATAGGCTACCACTTTGCCTTCTTGCATTAATACGCATCCCAAACCACTATGAGACGCATCACTATACACTATAAAGTTCTTTCCAGACTCGGGTTGAACTAACACTGGAGCTTCTGTAAGAATCTTCTTTAACTTTTCAAAACTCTCTTAACATTCTGAGTCCAAAAAAAATTTTACTTCCTTTTCAACAGTTTAGTCATGGGTATGCTATAATCGAAAAGTTTTTAACAAACCTTCGATAATAACCAGCTAACCTCAGAAAACTTCTAACTTCCGATACATTCTTTAGAACTTCCCACTCTAGAATAACTTTAATCTTTTGGGGATCCACTCGAACTCCTTATGCAGAAATTACATGTCCAATGAATGCCACTTCATTCAACCATAATTCACATTTAGAGAATTTAGCATAAAGCTTCTTATCTCGTAAAATCTGTAAAACAATCTGTAAGTGTGAACTATGCTCTTCTTCTGACTTTGAATATATTAAAATATTATCAATAAACACCACAACAAACTGATCCAATACGGTGGAAAATTCTGTTCATTAAATCCATAAAAGTAGCTGGTCATTCGTAACTCCAAACGGCATCACGATAAATTCATAGTGACCATATCTTGTTCTAAACGCCGTTTTCGAAATGTTTTTTTCTTGAATATTTAATTGATGATAACCCGAACGTAGATCAATTTTTGAGAACACTGAAGCTTCCTTTAATTGATCAAATAAATGGTCGATTCGGGGAAGTGGATACTTGTTCTTGATGGTCACTTTATTGAGTTGTCTGTAATCGATACAAAGACGCATTGATCCATCTTTCTTCTTAACAAATAAAACTGGAGCTCCCCAAGGTGATACACTTGGTCTAATAAACCCTTTGTCCAATAACTCTTTTAATTGAATCTTTAATTCTTGCAATTCCTTTGGAGTCATTCTGTATGGTGCCATTGCAATGGGCGCTGTTCCTGGTATTATCTCAATCTGGAATTCTATCTCTCTGTCAGGAGGTAAACCTGGCAACTCTGTAGGAAATACATCGAGAAACTCTCTGACTATAGGAATCTCTTCAATCCCTTTCTCTTTGGTTCTAACATCCAGTACATTAGCAATAAACCTTTGACATCCCTGTAGCAGTAACTTCTTTGCAGTCATCACTGAAATCACTTGCTAATGGATTCCATCTTTCACTAAATATAATAATTCTATTCCTTCGGAACTTCTCAATGTCACTCTTTTCAATCTATAGTCAACATCAGCGTAATAACGATATAACCAATCCATCCCCAGTATCACTTCGAATTCGTCAAAAGGTAATTCCATCAGATTAGTAGGAAATTCAATTCCCTGAATCCTTATGGGACACCCTCGGCTCACCATATTTACCTGAGCACTGTGCCTAGTGGATTCGTCACTATTACTTCATTACTAGTAGTTTCTAAAGGAATGTTCAATTCTCTTACTAACGTACTAGTAATATGAATATATAGACCCCAGATCAATCAATACGATAACACATTTGTCAAACAATAGAAAGGTACATGTTATAATATCTGGGTTATCACAACCCTCATTGGTCTTGAGGTTGTACACTCGAGCAATGGAGTGTATCTCCTGTTGAGCAGAGGACTCTGACTGACTTCTTCCTCTGCCTCTACCTCTTCCCCTCTGGGCTACAGAAACAGACCTCTCTGGCTGTACAGATTCACTAGTTGACATTGGACAATCTCGAACTAAATGTCCGGCATCTCCACATCTAAAGTAGACTCCAGAAATCATTCGACATACCCCTAAATAATTCTTTCCATAATAGGGCATTGTCTGGCTTGACTCTGATTAGTTCTCCAGCTCCATATTCCACTGACTGAGTTTGTCTACCTCTCATTTGATTGATCCTCTAGTGGATGATGCCACTGATTCTGATCTAACCTGGGGTCGAAACCAGCATCTCTGCCCTTTTTTTGGTGCAGAACTCGAAGAAACACCCGTTCTTTGACTGTCTGAGCTCTAGAATTTTCAAACCTCTCATTCTGAGCTCTTTCCAGAGCCTTAGCACGGTTAACTACTTCTTGAAATGATGATAAATTCAAGACAATCAACATTTCCTTTAACCGAGGATGTAAACCCTCTACGAACCACTCACAAGCATCATTTTCAGTAGGAACTAGCTCGGTAGCAAAGCGACTCAACTTATTGAATTCACACTCGTATTCATATACAGTGTGATTCCATTGCTTTAAATTCATGAACTCTTGCTTCATTTGACGAACAAATTGATCTCCAATGTACTTATGCTTGAATTCTTCTAAATATAATGACCAAGTTACTTGAGCATTAGATATCCTCAACGTAACATTGGTCCACCAGATCCTTGCTTGTCCTATTAAAAAGGAAATTACTCCATCCAGCTTCTCAGCATCAGAACAATGAAGTCCCGTAAGCATGACTTTCATGTCATTAAGCCAAAGGTCCGTATAATAGGACCTTCATTGGCTTCCCTTTAAACTCTGGAGCTCCTAATCCCTTCAACTCTTTCGCAATATCATTTTTGGAGTTGAAGTAAGGAGGTTGAAAACGCATCAATACCGCATCTAACGTTCTAAAGAATATATATTGATCATTGACAGGCATTCCAGAGGATGTCTGTTCTTCACTCTGCCTGGCCAGGGCAGGTGAATTATGCTTTCAGCAGGTCTATCGCCTCCCGCTTCTTTCTAGATCTACTTTGTCCGGAATCTATAAAAATACAACCATATAGTTCTATTAGCAAAACAACATACTTACTATTCCATCAGATCAGAAGTTTCCACTATTTTGTTGGCATGTATACCTTATAAGACACTCTAGACTTCGGTTTATACGAGAATCGACTAAACCGTAGCTCTGATACCATTAAATGTAACACCCTTAACTCATATCCGACCCGAATACAAGTCTGAGGGGTCACATTGACTTTTCAAACTTTGAATCTTAAAGAAAATCCCGGGAATTTTTAAAACTTTCATTAAAACGAATACTTTAATTTAAAAGACCATAAAATACAAACATCGATCAGAGTATCGTAATTAACACTTATTACATGCCATATTAATATATAACATAACCAAGTACATACTTTGTCAATTACTTCTGATGATCTCTTAGTAGTATTGATGTCCGTATTTCCACTTTTTCCTGATTCTTGGTACCTACGTGTAAATCACTTACACGCTAAGTCATAGACTAGTAAGGCAATAAATGAATATGCAAAAATAAACTTATGAATGTTCATACTTACAATTGGATCATGACATTTCAATATGCATGTAATCTATCGCACGGATAAAATATAATGCACATACGAAACTTACCTTCTTATATCACTTTCACTGTAAATCGGTATTTCAATTGCATAGCCCATGTATATTATTGAGATTAGAGGTATGTGAGTGCATTGAGGTTGTGCACTAATGTTGTCACCACAGCTCGTATCTATTCTCTCAAGGGACACCGAACCTTAGTTCAGTATTCATCCCGTAGGACTCCTACATCCCGAAGGACTACATCCCGAAGGACTATTATACCCTCGACTCTTGGCATGTCAATTACACCTATAATTCTCATATCGTATACTATGGGCATTATTCTTATATTTCATATGTTCATGTACTCATATCACTTCTCTTGTGATCATGTATCTCATATCACTTTATATCATGTTATCATATCACAGGTCATATCACATATCATATCACATGAACATATATATATCTTATGCATGTATCACAATAATTATCATGTATGCATGTTCACAACTACTGTATTATAAAAATCAACATAGGGATTAGACTTATCACAAGTCTTATTCCATATAATATACATATAGTATGCACTCACCTTAGCTTTGCTTTGATTGATTCTAATCCTTTGATCGTTCCGGAATAAGCTTACTTTTAGTATCTACATAATCGTACATGGATCTATATCAGTATTTAAACTAATATACTCTAATGATTCACTCTTTAGACTAAGAGAAAAGTCATTTCATCTTTAATGAAGGTATGCATCGATGCACTACTGATGCATCGGTGCATAAAAGGTATTCGATGTATTATTATTGTTGGGATGCATCGATGCACTACTTATGCATCGATGCATGAATTGCATTCGATGTTTTTATTTTAAAGAGTGCATTGATGCACTACCAATGAATCGATACAACTTCAAACAATTTCTGGGTTTTAACCTGATGCATCGATGCACTATGAATGTGCATCGATGCACTCTGCCCATAATCCTCTTTTTGAACCCGAAAATTCATTCATTATATTCATTTAAGAACTTCAAATCTTAAATCTCCTAACTCAATCATCATTTGATGTTAAGATAACTTAAGCTTTCCTTAAGCTTAGTTATCATCTAATAATCAAAACCCAATATTAAATTTAACAAGAAACTCAATAATCAGAAATCTTACCTTTGCTTTGGTTCACACGTACAAGGAAGAAAGAAGAAGAAGAAGAGAACTCTGGAAGCCTTTGTTGTTCTCTCCTTTTCAACCCACTTGTACTAATATATATCCTTATCCCTTCTTTAATAAATTTTCCTTGCAAATGACTCTTTGGCCCTTCCATTCCTTCTTTCTTTCAATTAAATCCTACACATTTCATATAAATCTTTATACTATTCATTCATTCTATTTTAATCACCAAAATCTGAAATTTTCCAATTTAGTCACTAACCCGGTATTGAGGATGTTACAATATGATATGTGCTCTCTAGTTACTTGTTTCGCTGGAAAATATAATCATTCCTGATTTATGGATCATGAAATCTACTATTTACTGAATGAGCCGATTATTGAGATACTGTCTAGGTAAGATTCTGGAGTATGTATGTTAAGCTCCGATCAAGTTGGTAATTCCTCATGTAGGTTCAACACTGATCAAGATGATAATTCCTTATGGACCTATGGTGGGCTCTTGGGCCCAATATGTCTAGTGGCAAGACCTTATGGACCCTAAGGTACTCCCTCAGGGTGGATCCTCTGCTGTGTGCATTGGGTAAGTCCTTAAGGGCCTGAGGGCACACCCTCAGGTGGGCCTCTACGCTTCTGCTAGGGTGAGACCTTATGGATCCAAGGTGCTCCTTTAGGTTGGCACCTACGCCCAATGGGTCTAGGGTAAGTCCTTATGGATGTAGTTCCCCATAATTATGTATCGGTGTTCGGTTTGAGGGTATTACTGTGGTTTTAAAATATGTTTTAAACTACTAATGTTTTAAAGGATATGTACACATTTTCTTTGTTTTGTTGAAACACACTATACTCCCCAATTCAATCTTCTGAATCTGTCTCTCTCTGAATACTTCCTTCAGACCGTAAATTCCTGTTTGTAACTGAAGACTTAGCTAATGAAATTTGAATTCACCGCTAGAATATGATGATGTCTGTAACATTAATAAAATTCATGTTTTACTTATACCTAATGACCTATTGCATTCATCTGGTAGTTATGTATTACTGAGCTTCCCAAAGCTCACTCTTTACTCACCATTGCAGGTTAAAAGAGTCGATCCAATGCATCTATCAACTTCAATTTTGGGAGTTCCTTCGGGTTTGCTTGCAGAGTACGGTGTAATGAGTAATTAGGGGGCATGTAGGTCACATTTGATATTTTTTTATACTGAGTCTGAAACTTGTATGATTTTAATTCTGCTTGTAATATATGAATGGTTTTCTGAACTTGTATTTTATTTATAAATTGTTTTATGATTTTACACATTTTAACAAAAAAATTAATTTTTCTTGGATTTTTATTGTGGGTCGCTCCGGTGGCCCTAATGTGACACCTCGGATCAGATCGGGTCACCTGCGTCGATTTGAGGATGTTACAATAAATTTTAATTACAATTGAGGGGAGACATTTTCATAAATTTAGCATAAACATCACTCATTTAATTGTAGCTAATGACACGATACTCATTTATAATAAAATTCAAAGTTAATATTCATTATGTAACTTTTGAAATTTAATGTATAAATGATTATTTTAACATAGTTAATAATCTTTTGAATTTTACCTTATGAAATTAGAGGTGCATATTATCGTGTGATATTTATTTTAAATTTTTTTATATAAATAAATTATATTTTTTAACCATGTGATGTATGTGATGTACTATATTTAACGGTTAAATTGTTTAATCTCTTGGAGTGATCCTAATGTTTAAAAGAATTTATCCTTCTTTAGTTACTTGAATTCGAACAATATAGTCTACACGTATATGTGACTTAACCGTAAAGTTGAATTTGAGGGACTAAAATGTGAATTTTTTTCTAACGGCGGAGATTATTTATAAGAATAAATTATTGATAAACAAAATGAAACATATTAAAGTTAGGTGACTATTTTAATAGTTTACCAAAAAATATTATATAGTGTAGTACGAAATGATAAAGTCACATCCATGCCTATAGAATAGACGTGAGATTCAACCCCAACAAAAGTGCTTACGCTTTTTAAATTTTGGATTAAATTATGGATTTAGTTATTTAACGTTAATTTTATTATCTTTTGATCATTTAATTATTTTCTAAAATTGTCACTAAATTATATTTTGGTTCATTTGATCATCCACTATTACAAAACACTTCGATGCCTATTAATTCGTAAAACAACAATCGATCACTGTCGAACACAATTGGATAAGTTTTATGTCATAGAGAATAAGATTAAAATATTAGGTTAGTTTCATAAAAAAGGCAAAAACACAACATTTTGGTATTGTCATCATAAAACTAATAGTGGTTGAGAAAAAAATATTTTCTGAAAGTTAAAATATAAAATAAAAAATAAAAATTTAATGACCAAAAATAAAAGTAAATAACAATTGAGTGACTATATATAAAATTTATTCTTTATTAAAATATCTTTATTTAAGAAAGAAGGGAAGTAAATGAATGGTTTTCATTTCTAATTTAATAAGGGTAAGTTACATGATTAATCCTTTTTGTTTAAGTTTTGTACTTTTCTCTAATCGATTCAAAAAAATAATATTTGATCACTTTATTTTTATTTAATTAAGTTTGTCCACTTTTGTTTTATTTAATTATAATGTGGTCACTTAGGGTTAATTGTCGTTGGACCTTTAACGGATTGCTAACGTGATATAATGAATTTATAAAATTAAAAATGTAAACTAAACAAATGATCACTAATGTTAAAAAAAAGGGTAAACTATACAAATGATCATTAATGTTCAACAAAAGGGGTAAACTACACAAAAATAAGTTTTCGTTTTCCCCACTAAAGGGTAAATTATATCATTGACCACTTAACCATTTAACCATTATACTTTAACCACCGATCTTTTAATTTTGTCAATCAAATAACCTAACTATTTAATTATATCCAATCAAGCCAATTGTTGTTAACATTTAACAGAAGTGTTGACGTGGTAGTTAACACAATTAGTATATTATACATTTGGTCCTCAATTTATATATATCACTTCATCCTAATTTTAATTTAATTTAATAAATTTATTCTAATTAGATTGTGACACATGTTATCATCTGGTTGGATGAAAATTAGTAGGAAAAAAACACTTAACTTAGGTATTTTGGCAAATATATAAACACCTAAACCATTGACATAGACCTATTACTTGATTTTGAAATACATCATTTAAAATATAAAATATTGTTAAAATGACAGAAAATAAGAAAATTAACATGAAAGTCGAGGGATTTGATCCTGAAAAATCAAGATAGTTGGTTGCAACTTAGTGTCACGGGGCTAGACTTCTGCTAGTCGATTCTTACGGCACTTAGATGATTTCTAGGTCGAAATGATGCCTAAGTCAGCCTTAACCACGTCCTTGTATGTCTCTGGCTCACTAAGCGATGAATACACCCGATAGGGTTAGGCAGCGACGCGAAAGCAAAGCTTAATTGAGGCTAATCCAAGCCACCTAGGTTGAAGGGAATCTCAGAAGCATGAGCACTGTGGGGACTTTCTAAGCCACCACGACTTGAATCACTTTGGAAATTTGAAAGAACTCGAAAGGAACACTCTCGAGGCTATCAGCCCTTACGATCAGTTACATAAGCTGCAAAGGCTTTAGTATAAAGGGGAACAAGCCGACAAGGCTAGAAAGCTAGAAACAAAATTCTCATAAGAGTAAGAGTAAATGCTTGAGTTTTATTACTCTGAAAGAATGTAATTTATTGAATTGAATACAAATGAGAGGAATGAGCTCTCTATTATAGTTGAGGCCTTCAAGATCCAACGTCTAGATCAAAGTATATCGACGACTTAAATTGAATTTTACCTTATCCAAAACTCTATGTCTAAGGTATTTGAAATCAAATACAACATTATCTATAATTAATTAATTATCTCCTTAATTATTGGATAATATTATCTTTTCTGGAATCTTCTATAGAACGGGCCAAGTCTGATGGTTTTGGGCAAGCCCAACTTCTGTATTACTCTCCTACAAAAATCTGCGCACACGTGTCTTGGTTCGAATCCAAGAGCCTTGATAAAATTGCCTCTATCGAACATGTAACACCCTCGTCGCTTCTCTCGGACTCCTTGGAATTGATCCTTCACGGACTCGTAAGAATTCTCCAAGAATTGGGCCAACACCCAAAAGTTTAGCCCGTGACATTCTCCCCCACTTGATCTAACGACGCCCTCATCGCTAGGTGAGAACACTTGGTCTTGATTACCTTGGACGCTTTAACAAACACCTTGGCTTCCTCACCTTGGTTAACACTATAATGTCTTATCACCATCTAACATATCGTGGCATTCATCTCGAGCATAGGAAATTCATCCTACATTTGTTTCACCCAAATAAGGATACTTTTGACGACAAAGACTTGGATACTCCGACAACATACAACATGACAACTCAGATTCGTCGGCAACACTCGCTTGTCCCTAAGAACTCTGAAAGTCTCAGATGTCCATTCCAACCTTTAATAAACCCGTAAATATGATGGTTAGATCCTCGACCTATACTCATCAAGAATGGTGAATCAAACTCACATTTGGAACGTGCTTGAGATGTCCTCGATCTCCTCAATACATTTACTCTATGTGTCAGCCCTTCTTACTCCACGAAGTCTGGCACTCCACACACCAAAACTTCTACCTGAACTCTGGTGTTTCTACTCGCATCGATACTTCCTCCCTTGAAATCCGATGTGACTTCCACCCTTTTACATGGGTGGCAAGTTCCCATCACGTCTCTGAAAAGTTTGGACTCCATCAACCTTCTCAGTTGTCTCTTCGATTACAGTACCCAAAACAATATTCTTATCCCTCAAAACATCCTCAACAAACTTAATAATCGTCACGTTTTAGTCGCTCCCTACTGTATCAAAATAAAGGCACAATACATTACCGTCGGGAGTCTAAGATGCACATGACATCCACAAAAGGAAAGGCAAAAGCCTTCACACGGTCAAGGAAACCCAACCCGATGAAAAATTGAAGTCACTAATGGGATTACCTAAAGTCCTCATTGTCGCTCCAATCACAAATCTACAACTCTATATTTATTAACATTCTAATAATTGGAACCTCTTCAGAATTAACAGTCTTGATTGCCCCTTTCTATAGATCAACTTTCAAACCAAGATTATCGACAACCTTCTTTAACATGAATAAATCGGTTGCCTCTATGTCTACTAAGGTAACTCTTGATTGTCTGGCAACGTTGATGTTCACATACATAAACCCTTTCTGCTTTCGGCCTCCACTTGCCTTGGTAGAACTCAAAATCATTGACCCAAGTCTCACAACCTCTTTGACCCCGCACTCATTTATGTCTTGGGTAACTCGATTCTGGGCTTGTCTATCTTTTCAAACCACTCGACTTTATCCAGACAATATTGCAACTCATGTGGCCCTTTACTTCAGTGACCCTCCGTTTGCTCCTTTCTTGCCATCGGCTTAAGACACATATCATATTTACTTATGCCAACATCACACATGTCTTCTCCAGACTTGTGTTCACCACTTGAATGATCAGTGCTCAAATGCTCATCATTTGAACAAACTCCACTCGAATAAGCATCACTTGAAGAGCCTTGCTCCTCATTATTGGATCGACCCTCATCTTGGATTCTTTTACCACTACCCACGGCTTTCAACTTCGTCTTAGACGTCTTCTTGGCTCCAAGTTCTATAATGGACTCAGCGGCTATCAAGGCTTTAGACAACTCTTTGATTCCCCTTCTCTCTATCTCCGTCTTTGTCCATGGCTTCAATGCATATGTGAAAGTGAAGAACACATATTTTCAATCAACTCTGGCACTTTGAACATAAGTTTCTTGACTGACTCACATACTTCTTCAACGCCCCATCATGTCTAAGACTCGTCAACTTAGCTCATGCATCACTCTCGGCATGCACTGAGCTCAACTACTCTTGAAACGTCTCAGGATCTTTTGGCCTTTCGCCAACTCCAGCTTCCACAGCAACGACTAAATCCTCGGTATCCTTGGCAAGTTCTTGGCAACATTGGGTTTGGGAAACCCGTTCTGCTTTTGGTTTTGACTAACCTTGGTAGAAGTAACACCATTGAACCAAGCTTGACAGACTTACTCTCGATTTTGTCACTTCCCTTGGACTGCTTGATTCGGTTTAGGCATTCCTGCACCATGTGTGGACTTTTGCATTGGAAACACTACAGTTGCTCTTGTTTCTTTACCCTTAGTTTTCTTGCTTGGCCCTTGGCTTTCGCACCAAGCTTTACTTCGTTGGTAAAATCTCACACCTTATGTTTTCCTCCACATTGGAAACACTTCAATGGCTCTCGCTTCTTTACCCTCGGCTTCCCAGCTTCGCCACTTGCATTGGCACCGAGCTTTTCTGCATTTGGGTAACTCTTGGCTCTATGTTCTTGACATATGAAACACTTCAGTGGGTCTCTCATATTTACCTTCGACTTTCCTGCCCCACTCGCATTCGCGCCAAGCCTCGCATGGCTTGACTGTTTTGACTCCCGCAGTTGCACCATCTTTGTCGACTTCCCCTTCTGACTTACACCTCTTATCAAGTGAGGATCATCACAGAAGTAGCATTTAAGTGGCTTGCTACTCACCTTCTTCTTTGACATGGACTTAGCTTTGCCATGATTCCCGATGGCTTTGTCTAACCACGATCAGTCGATGCCACTTCTTAGTTATTTGAAGAGCCTTTTCCACCTTCTATCCACTGTCCCTTGTCATAGTCTCTCCCATTTTCACCACTATCTTCGGGCATGGGCCTGAACAACTCATCTTTAGATGGCTTGACTCCTGCAAGCTCATACCTTGACTCCACTACAACTCCGGCTTCTGAACAAATCTGGGCATCACTTTGCTCACTGGAAAGCATCACCCTGGTCTAAGTCCTTCGACGATGGTCTTGAGCACACCATCATCACTCATTACTCTCTTACACATGAGTAACTCATTCTTGAGCTTATCCATTTTTTCCTTCAAAGTTATTACCTCGACCCTGAGTGCATTACTCATCTCTATCAGTGTTCAATCGTAGAGACTCTGTTGTGCACCCATCCCTAATGGACTCTAGATGTTCAAAACGGGACTCTACAACTCGTGGACCTCCTTGGCTTCCTCAGCGAAGCTCTCAAGGTTCTTGATCCTTATCTCCAACGATCCTGGGATAACTCCCACGCTTTGTTTCACTAGTTCAATCCTACCGTCATGGCTCTCCACGCCATTCTCTGTGGGAACAACTCCTCTTTGTTGTGTCATCTCGCTCCTTTCCACAACTTGTCTGGAACACTCGTTGAATCCACAACAACTTTCTTCAACTGGTTATGATGTTTCTTTCCACAACTTGTCTGGAACACTCGTTAAATCCACAACACCTACACTCTGACTTGC